GCTACTCATTTCAAGATTTTGATTTTTGAATTTGTGTAGTGATGAGTAATAGTTGTAGTATTTTTTGGTTAAAAAAAATTCTCTTTTTATTTCTTAGAAGAAAAGTTTTAAATAAGTAAGTAAAATTGCATTATTTGAAAGAGTTAGAACAATTGTTTAAGATAAATTAAACTTTTGTAAATTTTTTATTCATTTTCCTAATTATATTTTAAATTTTTGAATTAGAAAACACATTTTGGTAAATTGCAGCATGATATATTTTAAATAGGTATAGGTTGATAGTAGTAACAAACAAATAATCTTCAATTGTAGCATTTTTACATATTTCAGCTATCAGTAACTGAGTACTTCACCCCCATTTGTATTTATAACTTTCGTTTTCAAATGATTGGTTTGATTTTTCATACAATTAATTTTAATTAAACCATTTTCACAGTTCGTACTTTCAATATGATTTTGCCCGATAAGTTGGTGGTACTTTTGCAATTACCGTAGAGAAAACACTTGTGAAAAAGTAAGAAATTTTTACCTTTATTTGTTGCTCATAGATTGGCGCTACATTTCAAAAAAAAAAAAAAAAAAAAAAAAAAAAAAGTAGAAAATCACCAACTAGCCGATTTTCAACTAATCTCGGCGTTCAATTTGTTTTTCTCCTTTGCAACGTATGTATGCACGCTCGCGGCCATCGAGCAGAAGCGCGTAGTCCAAGCGACGACGAGTTCGAGGGTCTACTGGTGCGCAAGCACGAGTGGGAGAGCACGACGAAGAAGGCCTCCAACCGCTCCTGGGACAAGCTGTACATGGTGGTGAGGGGCCAGAGCCTCGTCGCCTACAAGGACCAAAAGTCGTGCAAATCGGCGCCCGAGCAGCTTTACAAGGGCGAACAGCCGCTCGACCTCAAAGGCGCGAGCATTGTCGTCGCTAGCGATTACCACAAGAAGAAGCACGTCTTCCGCGTCAAGTAAGTCCTTTTCATTTCTATGTAATTATTATATTCGTGCAGATATGGAATTTTCATTTCATGGATACTCCGTGCAACTATAGTTTTATTTTTTACAAAACGTTGAGTCGTGTTGTTCCGAGAAGGTCATGCTTTAAAAATTGAAAAGCAAATTTAAACCCGTTGGAAAGTGTCCGGTAGTAATTGGGTATTGTTGCGCGGGGAAGATATTGGTAAGGGGGTGCGTCGCGTCAAGATATCGCTTTCACGAGGCAAAGTCGCGTGAACGTAATTTTTTTTTTTGTCATGTCATTTAAAAAAATTCAAGAATACTTTTTGGTGACATTGTTTTATTGAACCAATGATAATTATTACCCTAAAGCCGACAATGCTTGTAAAATAGAAAAAATTTTACAACATAATATAATATACGGATTCAATTGTAATTGTTCACGAAACTCTACTTAAGGCCAAGACACCAACACATTGAAATACCTGCACCTCAAAAGCTCGTGGATTAATTTTCATACTCTCAAGCTTGTAAAGAGCAAAGTAGAAATTGGTTAAATTTTATTTCTTCAAGTACTGCAACAAAAAATGTTGTACAATCGTAATGACAAAATTTTCAAGATAGACGAAAGTGATTAACACTCCCGTGTGACCGTTAGAGAAAAAAAAAAAAAAAAAAAAAGAACGAACAAAAGTGGAGAAAAATATTAAATAATCCAACTTGTTCTTCTTGTTCTCCAGAACGCAGAGCGGGGCCGACTTCCTGTTTCAAGCGAAGGACGACGCCGAGATGAACGAGTGGGTGTCGAATCTAAACCAGGCGGCCCAGGGCGCGGGCGCGGCTGGCACGTCGCGGGCCCACACGCTGCCCGCCCCAACCCAAGCCGAGACCAAGCGGCGCAGCTTCTTCACTCTCAAGAAAAAGTAAGTCCTTAGGATAGCCCGCGCATCTATAGCTAGCAGTTTTTTTTTTTTTTTTTTTTTCAACTTTGAGTGAAAAGTGAGATAGACGTAGGCAGTAATCGGAGATAGAGGATGTACATTTTTTCATTGTGTTGAATACCATGGATATCATTCATTCTTAATATTGTTTTTTTTTTTTTTTTTTTTTTTTTTTTTTTTTTTTTTTTTTTTTTTTTTTTTTTTTTTTTTTTTTTTNGTTCGTACTTTCAATATGATTTTGCCCGATAAGTTGGTGGTACTTTTGCAATTACCGTAGAGAAAACACTTGTGAAAAAGTAAGAAATTTTTACCTTTATTTGTTGCTCATAGATTGGCGCTACATTTCAAAAAAAAAAAAAAAACTTGCAAAATAATGGAGATTTTTTTAAAATATAATTTTATGCTTCATTAAATTTACCGTAAGGAACCGATGAGAGCAGTTTTCATACCGATAATGTAATAAATATTAATCAGTTAACGGCATCAACAATCTGGATGATACACTATTCTCTCTCCTCTTTCTATCAGCGATGCAGAAAATTTTACGCACCAAAAGTACTACAGAGTAGTAGGCTGGCGGAAATACATACAGCTGTGCTCATCTTCATCGTGCTTATCCACATTAGTTTCTCATAAGTTACGTACATGCATATCGTAGAGCCGCTTAGATTTTTTTATTTTTCTTTACGGATAAAGTGAAAAAATTTTTCCATCATTCGACATCAGATCACAATAGCTTATTTATCATATTTTAGAAAAACCAAAAAGTAGAAAGCGAATAGCCAATGAACTGTAAGAAAAACACAGTATCACACACACACAATTGGAACAACATTTAGAGATGCGGTGAGTCAGTCGCTAAAATAGTACCAGCATCCACGTTAACGTTGTAATAATGCACGAATAAGAAATCGTATACTTATACATTGTTTTTTTTTGTTTATAATTTTATTTTTTTTTATTTTTTTTTCATGGAGACATTGCGGTTACCCAAACAGTACGTAGTTTAAGCGTTTTATTATCATATGCATCACTGAATTACCATAATGAAATTTACAATTAAAAAAAAAATTTAATACGCTACCACTGAGTATATTGCAGTGTCTTCTCTCGATTATGGTATTTTTTATTCTTTTTTTTTTATCAGCTTACTTTTGATTTGGATTAATATGAGGAATGTTCTTCCAATTGTGAATGAAGAATGGGATGATACCGTAATAAAGGTGCCACAAGACACCTAACAAATGCTGGTGATTCATATGCCTATTTAATGTTTTTTTTATCCAATTCAGAGTACTTACATTTCATCAGTATTATTAGTATTTGATAAAATCCATTTTTTTCACTCAAAGCAATGGACAATTGTCACGTAACAAAATTTTTTGACGTACGAATCACTAGGAAATGTTTATCCATCCATTCATGCAAAGTGGGCCAAAGTAATAGCGCTTGTTATTTTAAGTTTTTATCATCATTACATAGCGTTTTTTGTATGTCAAATCTGTTAGCGTTACTTTGCAAAGTCAATGTTGTGTTGCTGTTAGTCAAATGTGCTATTATAATATATCATTTCATCGCTTATTGTCGCATCGTTCTTTCACGAGTCCCTCGAAATGCTTTCGATGCTGATAAAGGATTGATAATTTTTTATCAAACTAGATTTAAGTTAAGTTTATCTTCAAGGTCATTCTAGTTACTTTTTAACAATAGTTTTGTAGCTAAGTTCAAATAATAATCATTAATTGATTTAATGTCATACATAAGTCAATAATTTATTATTTTTTGTTATTTTGTAAATCTATTTTTTTAAGACAAATTTTATACTATTTTTATTAATTACTTATCTCATTAATATAAATTAAACAAATTTTATGTGTCTTGAAGTCCAACATTAATTTTTTCAATTGTGCATGAAGTAACTTTATACCACTATTTTTTATGTCTATCCTTAAGTAAAAATTAACTAAACATTTTATAGTTTTATCCTTTAGTAAATTTACATATGACCATGAAATTATTTTTAGTACAAAAAATGTATTGTCATATCGTGTAACGTAAAAGTAGACTTGCTTTTGCTTTTTGTTTTGCGTATTATTAAAACAAATATATACATATATTTAGTACTTATGTTTTATTTATTTATCTACAGAGATGGACAGTATTTGACAAATTTTAATTAATTTAAACAAAATATTAAATATACTTGATAGAAAATAAATTATCGCAAATCAATGTGCATTACAAATTGTAATTCAACCTGTTAGAATCGTTGGAGAAATCATACAAAAAAATATTGCACAACTATCTTTTATTTCTTTTATTTTTTCACGTAAATAAAAAAATTAATTTGTACAACTTTGGGAGTGCAAAGCTTATGGTCATAATGAATAGCATTCAGTGTATGATACTTGGCCTTTTTTTTTGGTAAAAAAAAAAAAAAGAAAAGATTTATATCCAGTAATTTTACATAATTTATTGGATTCTTACAAGTTTAAATGATTATTTTTCATCAAAAAAAAACGATTCATATTCAGTAATTTTATGTAAATTATTTAACTGACCTAACAAGTTTTAATAATTATTTTTACGTTACAATCGTATTTCATTTGTAATAAATTTTTTAAAATCCATTGTTAACAATTTAATCCATGCAATAAACCTTTATTTATTATATGGAAGAGAAAAATTTTTTAATCACATTTGTGCGTAATTAAATATTTCAAAAAACTTATACTAAAAATTTTACATTCAAAATACATTATATGAAACACATTTACTAAATACTATAAAATGAAAGATGGAACGAGCACCTCACTGCAGAANTTCTTCAAACAACGCTTAATAACAGTACCTCCTGGGTGGTGTGGAAATCTGTTTAAAAAAAAAAAAAAAAATTTATTAAAATTTTGTGCAATATTTTTCAAGTATTTCAATTAAACTATTGACGATACCGGTTCAAATACTTTTAAATATTTGTAATTGATATTTTTAAAAATCGTTGTCTCGCTTTTAATGTAGTTTTATTTAATTACGAAATAATTATTTTGTCTTTGATTTTAAAAACAATAGCTTTGCTTAAGTCTGTCTATCTATTTCATTGACTACATATAATGGCGTAGCGGTTTAAATTTGAGTGAACTTTTTTTTGTAAACATTTCGTTGCTTTTTACTCGATGGCAAAAATATACCTAAGAATTATTATTTAACTCATAATATACGTATTACTTTGGTGAAGAAAAATGTCAAAGCTCACCATATTTTAAGAGTTTGAATCTTCCTCCACTTTTAAAAATTAATCGAACCTCTAAAAATATGTGCAGCTCAAAAAAATGCTAAATCTCGGATGAAAATTGTCCATCAACACGTCTTGAATTTTATTTTTCAGCTAAATCAAAGCAGAGGAGTTTGGCGAGAGAAATCGTCCGACAGCCCTGTCCCCGAAGCTCGACGCTGCGACTCGTCGTACACGAGACAACGCTATAGAAGTACAGCATACACATCGACACCCACTTTACCCTTACACGCATGAAAAAAAAAAAAAAAAAAAAAGAAAAAAAAAGACAACTACATATATATGTAAACCCAGACCCACACGAGCACGTACACATACATTGCAATCACACGCGCGAACCTTTGCCGAGAAGAAGGTTTATTTCGTCGCTCTACTTGGATAAAGCGACGTTAAATATATATGCCGAGGACGAAGGGCGCGTTTTTATTACAAAGATGCATAATTATGACATTTTGGAGAGAAAGGGAGAGCGAGAGTGAAAGAGAGAAGAATAAACAATAACAATGCTAAAGTAGGGATGCAAACACTATGCCAATTTTCAGATAGCTGAAATGATGTTTGGAAAGAAACGCAGCAACAAAAACAACTCATTAATAATACAATAAATACTACGTCCCAAGTTAGTGCGATTGACTTTTCTACTTAGACGAAAAACTTGAGAAAAAAAAAAAAAAAATGAATAATTAAAAAAAAAGAGGGATATCAAGGTCCCTCTTCTTCCTCTCGAAAAAAAGTATCATCCCCATCGTCGTCGTGGCTCTGCAAAATACATGTAATCCGTATTTGTATTTCTCCCACAGGTGCATGGTATCATTACACACACACACTAACCACGCGCATCAATATGATACGATTATTATATAATACACTACGTGTGGAAAAAAAAGAAGGTTTTTCTCCTCTTTCTATCAGCGATGCAGAAAATTTTACGCACCAAAAGTACTACAGAGTAGTAGGCTGGCGGAAACTGTAGGCCGTGTTCTATTCTTTTTTTTTTCTTTTCCATTGTCCAGATTATTATGTGTATTTTATAATATTATAATTAAGCTGTGTTATGTTATATTTATCGAGCATGTGACAACCATTTTTGGAAGAGTGGATAAAGAAAAGCACAACAGTCCATGTAGATCATGTCCTTGATAATTTTAACATTTTTTTCGGCATGTCATTGCTTTAAACGACCACGTTTGCACGTACGTTATATTACTCTATGGAAAATGTTAAAATTTGACCATAGACTGGTGTGTTTTTTTTTGTCTTTTTTTTTTTTTTTAATTGAGTATGCGACTTTTTTTTATAATGTATCGGACCCTGTGTTTGACGAATTCTTAAACAGTGAGATCGTTGTTTGTGAACAATGCAAGTTAAAGGAAGATTGTTTTTCGCGCGTCTTATTGTTTTTAGGAAAACGCTTTCTCCGAACGTTTTGCAGGATTTTATACACATTTTATAAGTCTCGTAAAATTACGTTTAACTTCTTCGAACAATATATGTGTATCATTATCAATGCCACCCTCTCCCCTTTTACTCGCGCAAAACGTTCTTGATTATTCAAAAGTATTTTATACGCAAAAACAAGCAACGATTTTGATTTCTTAATTGCGGCAAGTTGACGAATATAAAGACGATGCAAGAAGCAGAAAAATAAAAATATTAAACAAGAACAAACGCTGTTGGTACGTTTTATTTAATTTTTTTTTTTTAAATTATTTATTCGACTTAAAGAAATACTTTTGTTTCCATTGTATACATACTGCCCTGATTATAAAAAATTTGCGATCGTACAATTTTTCTCTTTATTTCGGCGATCACTGACTGCCATACTTTTTATTATGATCTTAGCTGCGCTAACTTGGGATTGTGTACGGAGATATAGCTTTTAATGATTGTTGTCTTGAGGGGAGGATAGAAGAAAGAAGGAGAGAAAGTAATAAATAAAAACGTACGTTTAATCTAGCCCCGAAGAAAAAAATATTGTAACGATTAATGAAGAGTTTTCCCTTAATTAATATTATGAATGAAAAAAATCGAGGCAAATGCATATAAATATATATATTTAATTCTTTAAGAGCTTTTGAGCAACAGAAAACGCAAAAGCTTTAGACTCTAAGATAAGTAACTTATATTGTGCGATCCTCGCCAAATCGAAACATACATACTATATTTGTGAATAATTGTTTGTTTCTTATTGATTTTTTAATGATGAATTATTTTACTAAAAAATTGTTTTCGCAACCCTTGAGAACTCAAAAAATACTCTAGCTGCAATATATTATATCGTTTCTATAAATGTAATTAAAATAAAGATATTTTAAATCTCATTTAAAAAAAAATCTTAATCGAGAGGATCTAACATTATTTTACCTGAGCCAAATGTTGTTTGGAGAAGAAAAAAAATGGAATAAAATTGAGATAAAAAAATACTTCTTGTACTATGAGAGATTTTTACACAAATAGTTGTGTTAAGCTCTATTGTACAATAACTGTTTTGAGAGAGAGAGAGAGAAAGCAGAGGCAGCATATACATGTTATATTATAAGTATTCTTTATGAAAAAAAAAATCTTATTCAGCTTTATTCGCGTGGATCTATATTATAATGTCTAAGTGATTTTATTTGAAGAAAAAAAAGTTGCATCGCTTAAATATAAATTTATCAAATGGATTCATTGTGGCTATGCTTTGTCTTCACTGTTTTTGTCTTTATACATATTTTATAAATCTATTATACAACTAACGGTAACAATGTAAAATTTATTAGCGAACAGGTGAATCGATTACTGTAAGAATGAGCGAATATGAAAAATGTTCTAGATGACATTGTTTTTTTTCGTTTCCATAAAAAGTCTATCCCATTTATTATTAACATAAAGCGCTTGTTGGTCAGTTTTCTAAAAAAATCTACAAAGTAGCTCATCTTGTATGTTATTGTCAAAAAAACATTTAAACAAAATAATAATAATAAATAACGATAGTGATGAAGTAAATAAATCAAACTTCAACCTATGCACTTGATCGCGTTTTCAATACATATAAAATAGATACATCCGTATGGTTAAGAATTTCCATATTTAATAATGAATATTTTTAAGTTTATATAACTATCTATCAACAACTGCAATTTAAAACAGAAAAAACAAGAAACGATTTCAATGTTTGCTTGCTATCTAGGAAAAAGCATAAAAAGAAGAAAAAGTTCCGAACAGGAATACATTAATAAAATTTGAAGGAATGGAAGCAGGAAAACTATTAATGATTAAGAATGAGATAACTGACCTCGAACTTGATTAGCTTAATGTATTTATAGATCTAGTCTCAAGGATGATATGAAAAAACAACGGAGGCTGGAGTTTATTGTGAGAACAGAAAAAGAAGTGTCATCGAGAGAAACGAAAATAAAATACGACTTACTGCTATAATAAATCGTTGTTGAAAAAATCTTCAATTGTCTTTTCGCTACTCATTTCAAGATTTTGATTTTTGAATTTGTGTAGTGATGAGTAATAGTTGTAGTATTTTTTGGTTAAAAAAAATTCTCTTTTTATTTCTTAGAAGAAAAGTTTTAAATAAGTAAGTAAAATTGCATTATTTGAAAGAGTTAGAACAATTGTTTAAGATAAATTAAACTTTTGTAAATTTTTTATTCATTTTCCTAATTATATTTTAAATTTTTGAATTAGAAAACACATTTTGGTAAATTGCAGCATGATATATTTTAAATAGGTATAGGTTGATAGTAGTAACAAACAAATAATCTTCAATTGTAGCATTTTTACATATTTCAGCTATCAGTAACTGAGTACTTCACCCCCATTTGTATTTATAACTTTCGTTTTCAAATGATTGGTTTGATTTTTCATACAATTAATTTTAATTAAACCATTTTCACAGTTCGTACTTTCAATATGATTTTGCCCGATAAGTTGGTGGTACTTTTGCAATTACCGTAGAGAAAACACTTGTGAAAAAGTAAGAAATTTTTACCTTTATTTGTTGCTCATAGATTGGCGCTACATTTCAAAAAAAAAAAAAAAACTTGCAAAATAATGGAGATTTTTTTAAAATATAATTTTATGCTTCATTAAATTTACCGTAAGGAACCGATGAGAGCAGTTTTCATACCGATAATGTAATAAATATTAATCAGTTAACGGCATCAACAATCTGGATGATACACTATTCTCTCAGTTGATTTTTGCTAAGGTAAGTATATAAAACTTTTTTAGAAAACTTACTTTTTGCTGAGCTACACATGCGCGACTTGATTAAAATAAATTTGAATGCTAATTTATAAACAATACATATTTTAGATATAAAATAACATAACGTTATCTGGTAGAATTTTGCACCTTTTGTTACATCGCTATGCTTATATAAATATGGTTTAAGAAAAAGAGTTACAAGCAATAATTGTAAACTTTCTTACCTTCATAATTATTTTAAGTTCAAACAGCACGAATAAAAAATGTACAAAAAAAATATTTGTAGTGCCAATTATTTTGGCTAGCCTTTCGGTAAGAATTATTCCTTTTTTTTTTATTTGATTTGGTTTATTTTTATTCGAAATTTTTTTAAGTACGATCAATGTATGGAAGTGCCAAACATTTTTTTCAGAATAAAAAGCGCAACCACTTATAAGTAAATCGTCTAATTTCGATGTGAAACAATATTCGAATGGTCTTACGTAGTGTGTGTTACGTAATAAAGTTCGACTAATTCAAGTAATTGGCATCCGAATAGGCTCAAATTTTGTAGGTACTTTCCGGTTGAATGTCGAAGCCAATGGTTTATATTTTGGCACTTTCCCTCGAAAAGAAAAATTTTGTCAGCATTTTAACTGGAACGCAATAAAAAAAAAAAGAGAAACTATATTTTACGACAAAGTTGTCGATGAAAGTGTAATACAACTTTTTGTGTAGATACATTTCACTTTGGCATGCGATGCAAATTGTAGATACAAAAACAGTGAAAAAATTTTTTGTTGCCCACGAAAGAACGTAATTGAAATTTTACACAAAGAGTTCAATACAAACGTTGTAGAATTCATTTCAAAGAAAAATTTTTGTTTAGTATAAGTTTTTCTCTCTAGTACCGTCTTAACACTCTAAACGGTAAAAATCATTTCAATAAGGAATTCAAAAGTCATGGATTTTATAAAAATACATTTATTTTGTATTGACCATTTTGGTCCATGTTTTAAAATAGCCGAAAAACATGTTATTTACGGACAAAGTGCTAAATATAAAAAAACTTATAAATCTTATTGAAATACACTTTTTCCTACTTTAGGTGTTATTCTTCGACCTTTAGACGTTAGATGCGCCCTCAGAAGGAAAAATAGAGCTTACACCTGGTGCACATTCAACCAGGGCAAGTACAAAAATTCTCTCGAGTTTGGTGCTTGCTCTGGTGACATGCGCCAACAGGTACAAAATCTACTATATTCTTGTATTGACCATTTCCGTCCACAGTGTCCTAACACATCGAGTAGAAAAAATCGTTTTAAAATGTCCCAAAAGCCGTTTCATTGTATGCTATTTTTACTTTTTTCTCTGGCAACCCTTAGATTGGTCTTACCTTATATTACACAACACGTTGATTTTTGCACAAATTTATACGCTTGTTAACTAAAAAATAACGTTATTTTTATCAAGTCATAGTTGGCTAAGGTGCACGCCGAAGCTCACTAGTGGTATGACTGCTCCAGTTGGTCACGGCTTTGAATTCAACTCGAAAATTAGAGATTTGTTTTTTTATTTGGTCGAAGCGTCGAAGCATTACCTTTGACTAGCTCATATTATTTGTTTTCACCTACTTTTGTTTTTCTCATCTATTTTTATCCATCGTGCCTGACTTCATATAAGTAGGAAATTTTTTTTTTTTTTTTTTTCGAATTTCAATGATTTTTAAGTTGTATTGTCACCTCGTATAATTACTACGATTTTCTAGATTTAATGGTATGCTCTAATGTGTATTGTCGACATAATTTCCTTATATTTATAACGTAAAAAAAAAAAAAAAAAAAAATGTTTGTGGATTACATATCCTGTTACATCAGCCGAGTTGACATTTTTTGGCTTATAAATGGAGACTGAGTGGCAGTACTTTTTTCATTTCGCAAACAGAATTGGTAAGTGAGTTACCATATAGAATACCAAGAAAAATGAGGGTCTACATTTTTACTCTTGCAGTACTTGTTGTTGCGGTAAGTCAATTTACGCATTTGTTGTTATGAAAGATCTTTAATTTTGTAAACAATAAAATTCGCATTCATGAAAATATCTTGTACGCTTTATGTACAGGTTTGTCGTACAAACGGGAAAGATATAGATTTAGGACTCTTGAAATAGCATATACTAGAAATCCAACTGTTAGTATTCAATTGTTATCAGTTGAATACAAAACATTTTTATTTTGGATAACTAGTTTAGTACTAAAAGTTCCAATCTGTATAGTTTGAAAGAGGCAAATTGTTTTTTATATGCGATGACAAGTTATATATTTCGTAAAATGTAATATGTTATTAGATATTGGTTCCCAGCAATGCTGAGAAAACGATTGGGGATCACATCAAAGAGTGCAAGAAAGAACTGGAAATTCCTGAAGGTAAATTTTATTTTTGCTTAATGTCAATTTGGCTTTCTAAAAGAGCATAAATATTATTATTACTCTAGATTAATAAATATATATGTATGATTATCAATTAAATCGACTTGGACTTATTTTTTAAACAGTATTTATGCTTTCGTGAACTTGCTTAACAAGCCGGAACACTGCCAAACTCAGCGTAATCCATACAAATTGGACAGTTACTATTTTGTAAAATTTTGTAGGTGCATGAAATTGAAATATTGTAAAAATTAAAATAAGGCGGCTAAGGAGGCAATACAAAATATCGTAATATTGATAATTTTCAACATATTGGATATTAATTAAAGTAACTCCATCCACATTACAGGAACCAAAAAATTTAGTCCACAAGATCCCAAGTTCAAATGTTTTCTAACTTGCATGAAAAAGAAGTTTGGGGTCGTAAGTGTCAAACAAAAGTAGCATTTCTTTTCTGACTCATTTCATAAATGTACCCTAAGTAAAAAATTCCAGATCGTTGACGGTAAAGTTAATGCCGACGCAGCAATAAAATTTTATTCAAAAAAGAAGGAACTCGAAGAGGCTATTAAACATATTATTAAAGAATGTGCTGATGCAGGTAAACAGAATAGCTTAGAAATACAGTTAAATCTTAAAAATGTATATGTACAAATTATTCGAATTTTTTTTCGCCCAATTTTATCGTACATGTTCAGAATTCACATGACGTTTACTCCCGTAAACAATTTTGAATTCATCATAGTGTCTTGTCATCCATGTAGCAAAAATTAACAATGAAAATTCATTTTCAATCAATTTGATGAAAAAAAATTTATTTTACAGCCAACAAACTATCCGATTGTGAAGTGGGTTACACTTACTTAAAGTGCTTGCATGAAAAACAAAAGGGAAAGAAGTCCGAAGTCGAAACAAAAAAAGAAAATAATGAAGAATAATTCGGTTTTGAAAATATTCGTCAATATGATATTCTGTAGCAGCCACAATTGATTTTATATATTTCCTTATATTTTTCAAAACATTGGATTTAATAAATTAAGCATGTAATGCACAGCATTTGATGTATGATTAAGTTCCATTCATCTTGAATCTTATTTTATTTTATTTTTTTTTTAATTACAAAGAATAACATGGTTTGCACGTACTTGAAAAATATTAAAATGTCAAAATGACACGAGGCTTGGCTGAAACTATTTTAGCTCTTTGTATACATGTACAGGATGTTTTGTTTATTTTAGCTCAATATGAAGAAACTCCATAGCAATGAAATAGCTTTCCTACAATCATAAAAATAGTAAAACATTAGCGAAGACACACGTGTATCTTGAAATTCTTGAAAAAATGGAGACATAAAAGTTTGTAAAAATTGCCATAAGCACGGTTTTTATCGACAAGAAAATTTGTTAAAAAGGCACCATTTGGATGAAATCATTTTACCAGAACATTCAATAATCACATTCTTTTATTAAATTCTTAGTACAAACGATGTACAACAAAAATATAGTACAAGGTGACAAAAAATATTTACAAAAGCGTTTTATGATATGACAAAAACGTACACATTTTTTGATCACAAGATTATCACGATGATTGCTCTGATCGTAAATTAATCGCGTCAAATGCTAAAATAGACAATCGAACTGTAATGACGATTTGATGGAAATATATTTTCTTTGGCATAGTAGGTGCCTTTCTCCGCCTCCGGTAAGTGCAACTATATTGTCTAATCCTATTTAACTGTTCACTGCGAATCCACACCGATGCTCACACGATTTCTCGTTATTCCAACCACTTCTAACGGCTATTACTGCCTCGTTCATCAATAACTGGTACGCATATCATACGGCAACGTTAGTCACTGATTTTATTCACGGAATGTATAGTTATACGAACACCAGGAAAATATGTTAAAAAGCCATTATTGGTAATGTAAATAGACTGCATTCCAGGTATGCTGTAATCCAAAACGTATACCTACACGCATAACAGCTCTTTCATTATATACTAACTACTTTTTAATGGTACTTGATAAACTGGCTGGTGTCGAGATGCGCTCGAGCGATAAGCTACTTTTTCTAATTTATGTCGAATTGCGGATTATAGACTAATTTGTTTAAAATTAGGTATATTGAAAAAAAAAATTAATCAACGTAAAAACTTGTGTAAAAAGTAACGGTGTTAATTAACGGTGCAACAACCATGCCGAGCTTTGCATTTTTTTTAAACATATCTCATGGGGAAAATGCAACTCACGTTTGTCTACATGAAAATCTAACGGCAAAGCTTTAGGGTTGAAACATCGCGAGTTATCGCATATTCTTCGAATACTTACTCGGACAAATGCATTTGAACACATTTACCTATGCACACATAAAACAACGTGATGCATTTTCTACTTATTCCTCATGAAAATAGATAAGCTACTCCCAATGTACCCCCATTCAAACGCAATTAGCTTTTCCAAAAGTGAAAAGCTATGATTCATCGAGAAGCAACGGTTATACGTCACTTGGAGTTCCAGCGAATCGTCCCCATCAGTGGGGTTCTTTCTTGTGGGGGTTTCTCCGTTAAATAGGGGTACGGAGTGCAAAGTCACCTCAATCTGCATTTGACATCGACAGCCTTGGTACCAGTGCTCTACCAAAACTAGTCGGTGATCGAAAGTGAACAGTTCCAGTTCCAAACGTTCCTTGGAGTCATTCAATTTAGCTACCGACAAAAGTTCCGCAATGATACCTTGGGTTTTTCTTCTCCTCGTTGCTGGCTCCCACAGTGCCCCGACGCACAGTAAGTTTTATTTCATTACTATCATTCCAAACAACTGGAAGATACCATAGTTAGTCAATGGACCGTCAAAGTTTTTGACCCCGTGGTTTCAATACCAACTCTTGTACTTGAGGTGGACAAAGCTGGAAAAATTAAGATTTTAAAGTAGTTTTACGTAGGCTCTTTTTTGTTCACATCTCTTTAAATTGTTGGGTTCTCTTAGTTTGAATTATATAGGAGTTATTTTCTAACAAATTTTCACATCGAATGGTCTCTTTTTCATACTAAACAACTCTCTTTTATTGTACGATATATTATAGAACTGTATAGAAATATAAAAACATGACAATTTCCATGACTTGAGTTTGTTAAATCTAAAGTAAACGAAGAAAAATTACAAAATTGTTATTCACCGATTATTGTTTATTTATTTATTCATTTTTTTTTTCAGATGAAACAAAATCTTCATTAAAAGTGTCCCGAATTAAAGGAGGGACTTATGCAGATATTCGAGAAGTACCATATCAAGTGAGAAATTACTTTTGTTTAACCGCATTTTTGTTATTTTTCCGGCAACTCATACCTCCACTAACACATTTACAACTTAAAAATTTAGGCTCAAATCATTTGCAATGGAAAGCTGATCTGTGGTGCTTCGATAATAGATAAATACTGGCTCATATCTGCTGCCCATTGCTTCAATGAGTGGTAACTATATTATTGATAACTTATTTTGTTTAATGTCTACGTAGAATAACAATATCATTAACTTCGTTTCTTTTAGTAAAAATAATATGTGGGTGATGATTGGCTCCTCAACGAAGGAAACCGGTTATCCTTATAAGGTTCAATCTATTATCGTACACGAAAATTACGATAAAATAACTTTCGATAATGACATCAGTTTGTTGAAGGTAAGCCACGTTATTCACCATGTAATCCGTGCATCAGTTATTGTTAAAAATTTTTTTCTACGTAATAATGATTATTTTTAATGTTTCAAGTTATCCCGTCCCATTGAACCCAACGTGAATGGTAATGTGAAGACAATTTTGATAGCTGTCAAGGATCCGAAAGTTGGAGATGATATAACTGTTTCTGGATACGGGGAAGTCGCTGTGAGTATCAGTGTACAAACATATTCACGATGATTATGAGCAAAAAAAACTATTAAAGTAATATCTCCCGTGTTTTATTTTTAGTATGGAAAACAAGGGGAACCAGATTTAAAAAAATTAACTATTCCAATAATTAGCCACACGAAATGTCAAATCTTCTATCCGGAAATGACTAATAACATGTTCTGTGCTGGATACTTGGGGTATTCAGATGATTCTTGTAGAGGTGATTCTGGTGGTCCTGCCGTTACTGTGAAAGGCGGCCACTATTACCTTACGGGTATCGTTTCGTTTGGGGTGTTTTGTGGGATGCAGTCTGGTTACGTCACCAATGATAGCTTACCAATATATTATCCCGGTGTTTACGTTAAAGTTCGTAACTACATTCCGTGGATAAGAGCAGTGACTAACCTTGTCATATGACATGCATATATGAACGAGGCAGTAATGGTTAAAATAACGAGAAATCGTGGGAGTACCGGTGTGGATTCGAAGTGACCAATTATATACTTGCACTTACCAGAGGCGGAGGAAGGCACCTACTATGCCAAAGAAAATATATTTCCATCAAATCGTCATTACAGTTCGATTGTCTATTTTAGCATTTGACGCGATTAATTTACGATCAGAGCAATCATCGTGATAATCTTGTGATCAAAAAATGTGTACGTTTTTGTCATATCATAAAACGCTTTTGTAAATATTTTTTGTCACCTTGTACTATATTTTTGTTGTACATCGTTTGTACTAAGAATTTAATAAAAGAATGTGATTATTGAATGTTCTGGCAAAATGATTTTTTAAAATGATGGTTAACAAATTTTCTTGTTAATAAAAGAAATGTCACTAAATCAACGACACTTTACTCTGAAAGTAATGTTCATCAATTGTTAAAAAAGTTATATACATCAATGATTATCTTATAAATTTATTTCGTTGTTACAATTAATTAATTTTTAAATATCATATTAAACCATATGAATATCTATATTTTTGGAGGTCGACTTTTGGGTAAAAAATAGATTGTAAACTTGCCGCAAACAGCACAAACCACGTCAACTTTTTATTATCTATCTATTAAATTAGTTGCGGCTGGTTTATAATTAATTAAATGGCTCTAATTTAAAAAGTAACAGTTATTTGGATCAGCGCCATCTAGCGTTGCGAATTTCTGAACTAAAAAGTGGCCCTAAACTTTTGGACCAGAGCTTTAGTGCGTAGAGCCATTTAATCAGTTATAAACCAGCCGAAACTCATGATGAAGCTGAAAAATAAAAAAACAACGATACATGTGTTTTTGGCGGCAAGTAAATAATCTATTTTCTACCAAAAAATCGACCTCCTATGTATTTATACTTTTGAAGATAAATTTTCGAATAAAAGATAAATTGTTAGCCTGCCGCCAAAAACACACGTATCGTTATTTTTTTATTTTATAGCTTCATCATAAGTTGCGGCTGGTTTATAATTGACTAAATGTCTCTAATCCTGAATGCTCTGATTTAGAATTTTAGGAGCCACTTTTGGCCAAAAAATAAAGACCGCTAGATGGCGCTGATCCAAATAATTATTGCTATTTACATTAAAGTCACTTTATTAATTATAAACCAGCCGCAACTAATCTTATAGATACAAAATAATAAGTTAACATTGTTTGTGCTATTTACGGCAAGTTTACAATTTATCTTTTACCTTAAAATCGACCTACAAAACCATAAATATTCTACTTATCTTATATGGTCGTCTGCTATTTTAACTGGCCAAGGGTGTTCTCCGCAATCGTCACCAGCAAGTAATTTAAGGTTGCGCTCTACGTTACCATCAGGTCGGTAAGTCAACTACCTTGAATTAACTGGCGCTCTGTTCCGTAATCTGGCCAGTTAAAATAGCAGACGACAGTCAACAGCGATGAAATCTTTACTTTTTCCTCGACTTTCACGTCGTCTGCTGTCTTAACTGGCCAGATTACGGAATAGAGCGCCAGTTAATTCAAGGTAGTTGACTTATCGACCTGATGGTAACGTAGAGCGCAACACACTATACTTGCTGGTGACGATTGCGGAAAACACTTCACCGAATAGAGCGCCAGTTTAATTCAAGGTAGTTGACTTACCGACCTGACGGTAACGTAGAGTGCAACCTGAAATTACTTGCTGGTGACGATTGCGGAAAACACCCCTTTTATCGCAGCGCAGGCTTACTGGATTTCGCCGAACCATACCGACAATTGCCGAGTCAAAGCGAGAGAGACTTAACTATGCGGCCCTGATGCGGCTCTCTCGTTTTTCAGCGATCTGCCGTCATCTGCGTCTACGGTGGCTCCTATAGGATATATACTTACCTATCTCTTACATGCTAGAAAACTCGGACCTCGGGCTCGGAGAGATCGGAGCAGCGGGTTAGTGTTCGAGCGCGTCGCTCCGCGCCACCAACCTTTTCTTTTCGGAGCAAGAGTAATAAAACAAGGGATACAAAATAACAATTAGGCAGTCGATCAATTCACTTGGAGGTTGACTGGGGCGCATCCGAAAACAGTAATTGTCGTGCGGCAGTATATAAGCGGCTCCTCCCCCGTGTGTAAAAAAAGGGAGCGAGGGCTGCGGTGTGCGTGTCCAGCGTTTGGTTTGTTTTTGTACATGATCGCAATAAATAACCCTCGAGAGCTGCGATAGATCAGCTGGCTGCAAAGGGAGGAAGTGTTGTTGTTGCACGATATTATTATACCTATAACACAACGTGCCCCGAACAAGTACAACAAATGAGAGCAAAATAATAATAATAATATAAGGGAACAGAGAGTCGAGGAGTGCAAGTGCGGCAGCAAGTGTGCGCGCTTTGTTTGATCGTCGTCTCGGTATACGATAACTAGCGGTGGTCGTCGTCGTGTATGTAGGGTCGTCGGTTCCGACGACTGCACCAGCTCGAAGAAAAAAAGCGTCGGCCGGTCCAACGCGCCAAGACTGAGACCGAGTGCAACTGCGCCCGCGAGAGCAGAAGATACTCCTCTCGGACGAAGCGACCGCGGCAAAATGGCGCCCGCCAGCCGGAGCATCCTCCTGGCGGGCTGCTGCGTCGTCTTCCTGGTGACGGCGCTCCGTGCACCCGTTGAGGTGGCGGCCCAACGATACGGTGACCCCGCCGACCACCTGCACGTAGCACCCGACCCGGCCGCGACCCACCGTCAGCCGAGATCCATCCTCGTTGAGCGGCATCCCCACGACGGCGAGGAGGCGAGCATCGACAGGAAAAAAAGGGATGCCCCGCTGCCCAACGTCAACAATCCCAATATCACGGCCAAGGTATTTTTATTGTTGTCGTTGTTGCAATATATAAGTACACGCTTGTGTGTTTTTATTCTTCGTCTCTTTTAGGGTTACCTACACGCCGCCCAACGTTGCTTGTATTATACGTACCTACATATTCTCTGCGTCTTCTTCCCTTCTTCGCACAAACCAACTTCTCCCATCCCATCCTACTTATATGCTTGCTGGGGTTCTTCTTTTTCTTCTTCTCGTTTTCTTTTTTTTCCATCTTTCTTTGTCTCGCTCTCTTTCTCCCCCTGCGCGCATGTGAATTGGTGCGTCTGTGTACGTGTGGGATGCTGCGTGCGAGAGAGAGTCCTGCGACGCAAAAGAGAGATAGGTAATACCTATGCTGTTTACGTTTTGAAAGCTGAGAGGTGTCTTTTTAGTTGGAGGGGGAGCTCTCCCGAATGGACCACGGGATGCGACCGAGTTTTCTCTTTTCTCCCTTTCCCAGATCTACTTACGATGACGGGGGATTCGGAAAAATTTTCGGAGCAGCGTTCGAAAACCATTTGTTTCGTTTGTCTCGTACGCTATAGCTCAAACAAAAAAACAAAGCAATGGCACCAACCAATTTTTTCTTATTTGGCTCGCAACGCTTTCAAGGACTCTTTTGTCAGGTGGTCTCGTTGAACTACTATTTTTGCGCGTTTGTCGCGAGAAAACCTGCGTGGGACTGGGTGAGTGTGTGTCGATGGCCTCGGGCGGTTTTGCGGATAAACGTTTGAGTCGAGCACTCGCTCGTTATGATTTTTTTTTTTCCCCCACTTACGCGTCGTTGAATTTTCTTTGTGCCGGTCAGAGCTTCGTTTTATAAGACTGATTGTTTTGGGCCATGTTCTTTTATTGATGGCAGTACCCGATACGAAAGTTTCGTTGTTTCCAATTCGTCAATTGATCGGATATTCTTTAGTCAAGTATATTGAAATGAAATAGAATAATTTGCGAAATATGTATCATCTGTTGAAATATATTTGAATTGAAATAACACGATAAAAACGAAAGTATCTCTTTCGTTAATGCGAATCAGTCTTTGGGGGCGTGTGTCAGAAAAAAAATAAAAAAAAAGCTTATCGGCTGCAATGATGGATATGAAACATCATTTTAGCTCTTTTTTTTCTGAAGCATCTTTCATAAGGGGATCGTGTGTGTGTGTGTGTTGTGTGCGTTGAAGAGTTGCTTGCTTGTGACGTATATATGTATATTCATACGATGTGTATACGTATCGAGTGCGGTGATAATACCATTGTTATTGTGATTCATGTAATTCGAGATAGGAAAACTCGTTTTATTCGCTCTGAAGAGTTTTTTGTCCATTCGAGTTTCCTCGTGTGGCTGTAGATAACAAAAAGTTGGGCAAACTTGATGTATTTTTGCTCGATACTCTTTGTTTTTCTACTGTAAATCAAATAAATTGATTAACGGATGAAGAAAGAAGCTGCTGATAAGTGTTATGCAAATTTTTTTTTTGTTTTACGTTGCATCAATGAAGGAAAATTAAGAGTGATGACTTTGTGGTGTACGTTACTATCTAATCTCGAGAAAGGGCGTTGGTTTGTAACTTTCATTATCTACACGAAGAACATAAAAAAACAAAAATATGGCAAAATTTATACCATCTCAACTTTACTGTAAAAATGACTGTACATTTCTTTTTCCTGTATGATGTATATTTATTTAACATCACTCACTGTCGACGCGCTTTTTCCCGTTAAACATTATTTCGCACTAAAGATTTTCAATACAATTTTCCGGGCAACGAACTACGTAATAAATTGATCGGGTAAAACTTACGATATTCAATTTTGAAAACAACGATCGCGAGCATCATTTCGGTTATTAGTATCACTTAATCAGCGCTTCTGTCGCTACTAATGCTACGCGACTTCAATAAAGAAAGACCATTCACTTTTTTTATATTTGCTCGCAAATCAAACGTCGACCGATTACACACGCAAATAGCCTATTTACATTCCATCCACATACGCAATATATCTCCCTTTCACTTTGTGTGCTGTATGCTGCTGTTCAAGCTGCACATGTGTGTGATGATGCGCATTTACATTCTGCTAGCGCGCGTCGCACACGGAATCTCTTGTCGTGTTCTTCCGTAAAATTGAAAAAATCCTCCCTATATATAGGTAACGTGCTCTCTCCCTCTCTAAAAAAAACTGCTTTTGCCGAGGTCATCGATTCCAAGTCAGTGACCTGCTTTTCCAATCTCAAGAGGGTCTTGTTTTTTTTTTGTCACTCAAGTGTTTATGCCTTCAATTTGTCTTTCAATAAAATAAAAAATATTAACCAGCTGTCAAAATGATTCGATTGAGCAATTTTATCTGAAATGACAGCTGAGCAAATACAAATATTTCAGAGTTTTAAGTAAAGACCAATAATTGAATGGTCGCCTTTAAAAAAAAAAAAAAAATTTCGGCTTAAAATTACACTGTGTATCTATAAGAACATTGACATGCTGTTATGTGTATTAATAAGGTCAAGAAAAATTCTAACTGTATTTTTTTTTTTTTTATCACACATACATATTTACGAAAATAATAGTGTTATGTTTGATCTTTTCCGGGTGAACATTGATTGAATTTAAATATGTTTTGCTAAATTAATTTTTGGTATAATTTATGTTGAAAGATTTCCGAAAATATTACGAAATGTCTATACCAAGAAGCTATTAATTCGATAAAATTATTCCCCTTTCTCTGTTAGCTTATAATTAATCGAAGTGTATTATGTATGTACACACGCATGGACCATAATACGCCACGTGCTTCCTGTGATCTCGGAATTTCCGTAGTATAATAAACATACACACATGTCAGGTTGGGGACCTTTTTTTTCGTTTTTTACTATTCGTTTGCCTATACAACACACACGTCAACACAATTTACATATGAGACTCTTTGCGCGGTTGTGACGTACAGTATCTTCAAAATATTTCAGCGTACGATGTAATATATCTCTATAAGTATAAAAACTTGTGCTTTGCAATTCGAGTACTAGTATACCTTATGACTATGCACGAGCTACACATCCACATGTGTAGGTACGCATACTGTGGTAGTGCGTTATAACGCGTTATAAACACGCTTTGCGAAGATGGCGCCTATATGCTAATGATACGGAGACACACACGTCGTTTCGTCGATACCTATATATTATTATAATACTCGGCTCTCTTTGTTTGCGCGCAGTTTTCCTCTTATCTGTCGCCCCTTCATCCAAGATTATTATGCGCCTTCTTCTTTGTTCGTTTCTCTTTTGTGTGCTACGTTTTGCGAGTAATTAACATTTTGCGTGCGCTAAATATATATTGAAAAAATTATGGGCAAAAATACACCGTTGATTATGTTTAGCGCCTTCATAGTTGAACGTGCGAATTTTTGAGAATTTCGTGGCATAAGTTTGTATCAGTTTATTCGTTGTCTCATTGGTCGTTAGAAAGCGTTTGTTTGTTTGTTTCGATTCAATGTCAGACGGGTGATAGCGAAACGAAAAAAAATTGTTGTCTAAGAGATTTTTACTTTTTATGCTCGGTAATGTTTACTACTTGGAACGATAATTTTTATCCTCAACGTTTGTACCTGGCGGTGTAAATAGTTTGCGGAAAATTTCAAAATTGCCTAGAAAACAAAATACGGACATCGCATGAACAATGGTTTTTTGCTTTTTCCAATTTTTTGGAAGGATCAATTATTTTAGTTTTTGTTATGCGGTATTTTGCATTTATTAAATCTAAATTTAGACTTACATGTGATTTTATACTTTTGTACAAAAACAAATGGAAATTTTAATAATGATTTCAGTGATTCACTCGTGATGTGTTGGAGACATTATTCAAGTGATTAAATTTGAATGAAAAAGCTGATTCATATATATGCGCATGGAGCCGCCGCAAAAAAAAAATACTTGCGGAACAAAAGAGCGTTATTTACTATAAAAATATTTTCGTTATTAAATTTTTATTTTTATGCCAAGTCTCGAGTTATACATTACATTACTGAAGATACTTTTTAATTTGGCTTTAATTAAAAAACCGACACTTTATAATTCGTGTGGAATAAATTACTAAATTACACACTCGATTGTTATTATTTCCCATACAATACATAGATTGGTCAATATTGTTCTAAAAGAAGAAAAATAGGCTTTGAAAATAATTTTCGCTAAGAAGAATGTTTGAATTTCTTGTTTATATAAATTCTTTTAAAAATTATGATTTTTAACCAACTTGATAGTTTTCAAGATATTAAATTAGAAAAGTTTTCGACAGTACGTGTAATATTTTCATTTGTGATTTTTTTCTCTCTCAATTTAGTTTTTACGTGTGTACGTCAGACTAACAAATTATTCACACATTTTGTACGAGTATTATACACGTGCATTTAATAGTATTTAAATTTTTTTTGAGATTTAGCCTCTACAGTGAAAATTTTTTTTTGTAACGTTACTACCGATCTTTCTCTCTCAAAATTTCGAAGGTGTTCCTAGTTAGTACTGTGTATATGTTAGACAATAATTCGTAAAAGTAAGGCCAACTTTATGGGATTTATTGTTCTCTATGCATGACGAACAGTATATATTATTTCAAGTCAAGGTTTGTGTGGCTTTCATAGGGTTCCGTGTATTCAGCGTAGCGCCAAATACCCATGTAAACTCCAATAAACATTGTTTGGAACCCAACAATATATATTGATACAGTTACTACATGGAAAAAAATATAGATGCGATCCAATCATCTCGTGCGGCTACTACTTTTTCACACAACATCGGCTCTCCCGCTCTCATTTTCCTTTGCTCGTAAGTATACCTGAAGCCTAAAGCGACGTAAAGTACTCGGCAGCAGCAGCACTGTATCCACAAAGATACAAGTGTATAATATACCTATTCGGTGTGGGAGCGCGTACTTAATTTCTCTGCCTCTTTATTTTTTCTTTCTCTTTCTTCCCGAGATAATTCGCCCAACTACTGAGAGAGAGAGCGTA